GCTGAGCACCCTAGGGAGACCTGTGGGTGACACGACCAACTCCCGCGCGCGGGCTGCGTGCCCCACGCCAACCCCACCACCCCACCTTGCAGCGGCCTCGGGCCGCGCCCGTCCACCCGGCCCCGGAGCCCTGGGGCCACTGACACCCCGCGCTGCCGGTCCCCGCGGGCTCCCGGGGGAGGCCTCCACTCACCCAACCGGAGCAACAGGCAGACCACTCCGAGGGCCCCCACGACCCACCCCGCGGCCATAGCGTACGGGCCAGCTTCCGCGACAGCGACCCAGCCGGGCGTCGCCCCGGCCTGCCGGAGGGAGAGAGAACCCGCCCCGCGGTGCGCCCCGCCCCGCGCGTCCCGCCAGGCCCCGGATGACGTCTTGGCGCGCGTCTTCTCCCCGCTCACGAGAACGCAGTCTGGCCCCCGGGTCCTTCCTGCTCTTGTGCCGCCCCCCGCCCTGCTCTGTGGAGCTCTCCCCCAAAAGCGGCTTGCGTTTTCACAACCAGGTTTATCCTCGTTCCTCCCGCACTTTTCCTTGGCATTTGGAACGTGACGGAGGCGCCCCCATAGCCGGGGGTATCGGACCGTCGCTCCCCAGAAACTGCGCCCCACTCGGCTTGAGGTGACAGCAGAGCTCTGTGCCGGGACAGGGAGGTTCTGAAGGGCTTTATTCCTTCAGCGCTTTCCAGCAGCCGCAGTCGCGCAGCCTCGCTTTTCCTGCCAGTCACTTCGCTACTACGACCCTGGACAAGACAGCTTCCTCAAATATTAAGACAAAAGGAAACGGGCAACATTCTAGACGACTGCTAGACTCTGTGGGGTCCCCTGGCGCGGCCCCAATCCCCCTCCCCCAAGTGCCTGCTTCTCCTCATTCAAGTGCAGCCACCTTCTCGTTAAGACGGACCTCACCCCAACACTCCCTCACTGGGAACTGGGATTTCCAGCCTTGGGTTTCTCCTTTCTCCGTTTCCTCTTTGTTTCACTCTTCCTCCATCTCTACTGTGGACTCGCCCTCAGGCTGGGGAGTCAGCGCTGTTCACTCCCTCGCCGTTTGGCCTCCCCAAACCTCTCTCCCTCGTGCTGCAGCGGACGCTTGGAACTCCGCATCTTATTCGCTAGTCCTCTCCCCTCAAATCCATCTGATCCCAGACTCAATTACTACTGTATTCCCAGAACCGGCTACTGGCATCAGTCTCCCGGTCAGCCCCCATTCTTTCAGACAGTGGCACCAGAATGATCCCTGCTCAGCCATTGCAGTTGAGGGAACTCTTCGTTACCACGTGAGCAGGAAACTCCTCCCATGAGCTGGACTCATGAACGGGACTCTCTGATGTCCCAACAAACACCAACATGTTTGCTAGTTGTGAAGCGGTGGAAGTGTGCTTTATTGTTGCTGTCATTACCATCCTCCTCAGGTGGGGACCTCCACTCAAGACACCTGAACTGCCCTGTTAAGAATTCATAAATTATTTCCTACATTAGCCATGAAATTGTAAAAGGTGTCTATATCCGTGAAATTTCTGGGACTGACGTTCTGTACCATGAGCTTAGACATTCCCTATCATCTGAAGATACTGGGAACATAAGGCAGGTACAGTGTGTAGCACAAAATGTGAGATGATCAAGTTTCTCCTCTGCTCTGGGCTGGTAAGAACTCGGGCTAACTTGGAAAGGTAAGATGGGATCAGAACTTTAAACACTGGGGAGCCCCTACAAGTTTTTGAGCTGGGGAGTGATATAACAGCAAACATCTGTTGAGTACTTACTATGAGCCAAGCCCTGTGTTAAGTGCATTACCTGCATTAATTTAATCTTCTTGCTGTCCTTGTTTTTACAGATTAGGAAACTGAGGCTCTGAGAAGGTAAATGACTTGCCCAAGGACACAGGGTAAGGTGCAGAACTGGGAGTCCAACCCAGGGTAAGTCCAAAGTACCACTCTTACCCTTTCATACAGCATGGGCGGCTATACTGCTGTTTGGACTGGCCAGCAAAAGCTGTCAACCCCCTCAAGAGCAGGGCTGAGGAAAGGACTGCCCAGCCTGGGGCTGCGAAGTATTCCCCAGGTCATGGTCTCCAGGTGTCAGGTAAGGAATGGTTTAGTAGGTCTTCCTTGATTGGCTGCCTCTCTGGCCAACGAATGGTGCCAGCTCTTTCATCAAGAGAAATGCTGTGCTTCCAGCAAACATTTTTAGAAGCCCTTATATGCCTGGTCTAGCAGACTTCATTAGTCAAAAGTGGCTCAGAAAGGCTGGACCTGCAATGCATTAGGCAGATGGGCCAAAAGGTCCTATCCATACACTGAGGACTGGCCACCAAAAGGAGGGCTGGATGTATTTTACATCCTGTGACCAGTGTTGAGAGGTCCAGTTTTATCTGCTCGTCACTGTAAAGAATCGTGGGTTAGAAGGGAAAAAAGGAGGGCTCGTTCAGTCTGCTTCTGTGGCGTGGATGGGCGGCTGCTCTTCCCAGCATGCCACTCTAGTTCCCTGGCTCTAGTTCTCGCCAAGCTTGGAACTACACCCAAGAAGCTTGGGAATCCCAGAAAGACAGAGCAAAACACTGATTCTAATCCTGCATACGTGAAAATCGTCCTTGCCCCATATGCAAGTGTATATTCACTTCATTTATATAAACCCTGGGCAGATTTGCACCAAGGGTGTGTGTGGGGGGGTAATCTTTATTCCATAATACCGTTTCCCTTTTTAAAATGCTCCCTGGCAAAAAGAGAGCATCTGGAAAAAATTAGGCAGAAATAATACATAAGACTTAACATGGAACCATTCTGGGTACCCAAGAGATAAACAGTCACATTTCAACTCCCGACCAAGCCAGCAGCTGCAAGAAGTTGATAAGGATGTAGCAAATGGGGCTGGGGAGCAGAGGAAAGCACATATTAAAGCCTTTGAAAGGCCTGAGTTTTAAAAAGAAGAAGAAAAGGAAGTACCTCCTTCTGCTTTTTACCTCCATCTAGTTCCTTTTGCATTCTGTGAATTTTAAAGAATTACAGATGGCTTCTGACTAATCACGTGTCGCTGCTATAGCTTTAATCATTCTATTGTTCTTCTCAATTTGCAGATGTGGTGAGCTCCCCCCAAAACCTCCCAGCATCTGAGCTGTGCGGGGAACAGAGATGGGTGTGTTCCGTGGGCTCACTGCACAGGAATGCACAGCTCCTGTGCTTTCCTCCATCCTGGAAAAGGCTTGCTTAGCATTTCACTGTCAGGACACTACTACAGAGTTTGAAGAAGATGGTGTGGTCTTGCTGCCAAGACAAAGGAGAACGCTGTCCCAGGTTCCGGCTCCCCTCCCCTATCAGTCTCCTCTCACTGCATCCTGTCTCCCCACCTCCACCCCACTCCCACCCAAAGAAAGCGAGATTCTGAACTGGCCTGTCAGGCCTCCAGGCCTGTGTGCTGAGCGCTGCATGACTCTGGCCTTGACAGTCAGGGTGGATGTGTATGTGTGTATGTATGTGTGATACACGTACGTTTTCAGCAGCTGAGAGTAAAGTGTCTTGAGAAAGGGGTGGTTTTTATCACCTGTACAAAGGTGCCACTTGCACTGGGGGTGAGGCGTGATAATAGAAGCCGCAATTCACAAACCCTGAGTTTAGCAAGCCAAAGTCAGGGGCAGGACTCCAGGCCCCCAGGGCACAGCTCCGTAGACAGAGTGGCTGCTTAGTGAGGAGAAAGAAGGACAGTGGACTCTAGTCAATGTAAACAGCCATATTTTCAACATAATTTACTACAGGTCTCTGAAGTGTATATAAAACATTTTAGTGCAACATCTTACAAATAGTTTTCCTTTAAAAAACAAACAAAAACAAATCAACAGCTCTCTACATCATGCACGGGTAGTTTGCCTACCCTACCTCTTTTTTTTCTTCTTCAAAAGTTAACGCAGAGAAACCATTGTTTGAAAAGAATATGAAAACTTGCTACAGAAACACCCTAGGAAAAGAGGGTGTGGTCATATCCATGTCCTGGAACGGGCCTAGCACAGTGTCGTTTTTCATTAATGCAACATCGTAGATGTAGATAAGTCAAGAGGGCAGTCGGCAGTTTTCCTCTGCGTGTCTCTCCTGTAGGCAACTTGCAGTGAGGTTTCCCAGCCACCGGAGGCCACCATTATCACTCATCTGACGCCACATTTCCATAGAAATGGCCAAAGAAAGAAGGTCCTGGGGATTTTCACAGAAAGCTGAAAAGCTCACCCTTTGACAGTATCCCCTGGCCCAATAGAAAACGCACAGAAAAAAAAAAAAAAAAAAAAAAGTTATTAAAATACTGGCTTCGGTTTCTTTTTTTCCTTTCACATCTCCTGCAAGTGCTTCACTTACTTATGTGCAGCACTGGCTTTTCTTTCTTCTGTGAACCAATTCAAACTCAGATCTTCATTATGCGTCCCAGTTCCAGCCAGCCCTCCGGCATCTTTCCTTTCAGACAGAGGGAATGTACATCATCTTCTCGAGCTGACTCTGTCTATGAATTAAGGGCCAGCAATTTCCCACTGAAAGCCCACACCCTGAAGTGAAGAAATGGGGCCAAAGACCGCCTTATTTCCTCAACACTGCGCCTGCTGTGTACCTCTACAGCATTGATGCAGCACAAGAAATGGGGATGAGCACATGAGGCATCAGTGGGATTCAGGTGGCCGTGCCTACACAGTCTCACAGGAGAGGACTGGTGTATCTGGGAGGGAGAGAAGGCAGGCTACGTAAGCCCCTCAGAAAAGGGTTGGGCAGTTGCCTTGCTTCCCCCTTGGCTATGACACATCAAAGCACCTGCCGAGCACCCAGGGCCCCCGCACGCCCGCACACGCCAATGAGGATCAGTACCCACGTGGCCTGGAATCCTATAGCCCTCCCCTGGAGTCTGTTCTGTCTCAGAACAGGGTTTCACACTAATCTCTCCGGTTAGACTTAGTTCCAGAATCCCTGGAGGTTTTTTCCAAAGTGGGAACTCCCTTGGGATTCAAGCTGCAAGTTCATAAGGAAGGGAGATGGAACTTTTGGCCAGCAAAATATGAGAAAGCCAGGGCAGAAAAACATCTTCATGGAGTGGACAAAAGGAAACACTTGCAACCGATGATGCTCCGGAGCCCGGCATCTTGCCCAGCAAGTGTAAAGTAACAGGTGACACTGGCCTTCGCCAGGCTTTAAGGGGCATTCAAATAAAAAGCTGCCATGACAGTGAACAACCAGATCACCTAAAGCCACAAACAAGAGCTAAGGAAGGGAAAGATAAAAAATCCACAAAGGCATGTGATCACTTTCTGCTGAGATGAGGTAATCCATAAAGACTACAAAGGGCTGCGTCTGGGCCTCACCTGGGCAGATATTCTTACGGCAGTGAGATGCAGGTTAAACGGCAAAGAAGAAAGACATCAGTATCTTTGAGAAAAATCTAATTGGAAGGAAAAAGGAAAACCTAGTCTTCATATCTCCAGGGAGGTAGTTATTCCTCCCTGTTCTACAATGGCTGGCTCTGGAAACCCCCCTCACCGCTGGCTGACCGTCCCAACGTTCACGAGCCTTAGCTGTCAGCCAGCCCCAGTGCCTCCCGACAGTGTATGTGGGGGCTGCTGGGCCCTCTGCAGGCTCACTGGCCATTTTCCCTTACGAGTTTGGCAAAGCACCTGAAAATAGAAGCCCACCGGCTCGCAATTATCAGTCAGAGACTGCCCTTGCAGAACAGACCAAGCCGACAACCAGCCTTGTTTCCTTCTTTCACTAATCAGTGACTTTGATCAATCTGAAAGTCAGTAGCTGCTAAAAGCAGCCCTCTGCCCACTTTAACTTGCAAAGTGTGTGCTGTTTGGAGCTTCTGACTCGTTGTCCAACAGAGTCTGCTCATTTTTTGGCAAGGGTGGGATTGAAGCCTATTGCCTCCCCAACAGATAGGCTAGGCTGGGCGCTATCTACTCCTAGTGGGGTTATGCAGGATTTATCTTGTACATACAGTTCTTTGAAGCAAAATTCAATGCTTTCATCTTGACTACAAAGTGGTTCCAACAACTCCAGCTGAGGGAAAATATAAGATACAAATTGGGCCCACACTACACATAATTTTCAAGTCTCGTTAAGGAAGTAAAAAATGTTTGGGTATATTTTGATCCATGGGTGGCATTTTCAAGTGTGCAAAAATGAAAAAAAGTCTTGGAAGAGATTCCTTTGCGCTATAAAGTTCGTCCTTCCTGCTGCCATCAGTCGTATTTAAGGGTAATTTGTCCACAACATGACGGAATCCAAAAAGCGTAAACCAAAGGGATTGAAAAAGCGTCCCTTACAAAGAATAAGAGCCCCTGTAACATCTATATCTGCGAATACTATATAAATCAGTGAGTAGACGTGGCACCGGGAGCTACTCACCACATTACCGAAAACAGAAACAAGCAACCTAATTCGGCAGGGTGGCGCCATCTGCTCGAAAATAGCTAACCCACCAAGACTGCCACCTAGAGGCAGTCTGCCTCTGGCTGAGCGGCGACTCCGAACACTTCTCAAGTCCGACCGCGTTCTGTGAGAGCGCCCCAGAGGTCGGGTGCTGTCCGCTGTCTGATCGCAGAGCGAGAGGCAGTGGGGAGAGCCTCAGCTCCTCTGTGGCTCATGACCGCCAGGGGTCCCCTTAGTCTATGGCTCCTGGGTGGATACTGAGCACAGGGGGCTCCAGGCAAGTGGGGGAGTAGTTGAGGTGTGGCTCCTTGATCCACAACAGGGGCACCCCATTCTTCCCGTCGGAGTTCTTGCTGGAGTTCCGGCTCTTGAAGCGCACCAGCAGGATGGTGATGATAAGGATGCCAAAGATGGGGAAAGGGTAAAAGAAGACGAAGTAGAAGAGTGCGTCGTTGGAGCAGATGATGGACTGCAGGGTGGGACCTGAAAAGGACCGAGAGGGTGACAGAACCATGAGGGCTGGGAACCTGGACTCTCACTCACTCCTGCAGACCCCACCCAACTGCACGGGTGCAACTTGGCAGGACTCCTGCATCCACCCCGTCTTTCCCCTCCTGCCACTACTGGAGGGCAGACTACCCTGGTATTCTTATTTGCACGACCGCATCTCTTCCAACCCAGCTGGAAGTTCAAACAAAGCCACGCCTCCATTTCCCACTAGGAGTCAGTTGTATTGCTTGGAAAGCCACACACGAAAGTGTAATTTATTGAATGTGAACTCAACTGTATCTGGGGTGGTGAAGACGCTGAATCCACTTCAGCCTGAACCTCCTTCCTGGTTGTATTTTACGTGTCCCTTTGCACTTTAGTTCTCCTGCCAATGTCCTTCTTTGGAACAGAACACATTCTCTACCCACCAGCTTCTGAGAGCAGTTTTACCAGAAATGATGCTCATTTGATTAATGTTATCAATTAAAAAGTCATCATGGACCACTTACAAATGTCTGCAGTGTATCTGTGGCTGCACAGAACACAGTGTTAGTTATTCCTGGATACAGAGGAGAATGAAAGCTCACACCCCTGACCTCATCAAGGACTGCTGCTCTGTGACAGGAGCCTGGGCTCTGGGAGGCTGCATTTTCTCTGTAAAATAAGGCTGCTGGATGATCTCTGTGTGCTATGAAGCTTACTAAGTTTGGACAGCCACAGTGGGCAGAAAAAATGTGGTCTAAACACCTTCCCTTGTACTTTTGGACAGTGGGTTATTCAGCAGATCGTTAGGGGGTCTAAGTATGATTTAGGGGTTTTTTTGGGGGGGGGTTTGGCTTTCCTTTCTACCGCATAGCTGTTGCTCATCAGTATTATTAAGAAAATTTAACGCACACTTACACTTACTAGATTTCCAAGGTCTATGAGACTGGTGATATCAAACACTTTTGACCAACGAAACCTCAATTTCATAAGGTTCTATTTAATAAACAGGAGGTTATCAAAGAAAAGAAAAAGCTGACAAAACTCAAAATGATCTGATAAAATGTTGTGATTGAGAGGAAGCTGAAATTTTTAGCCAATTTTTAATTTCTGTATCATAGGCTAACTCTACTATAACAGACACCATTTTCAGTCTGATAAATTCCACCTTTTGACAGAGGGCCAACCAAAAGGGCTCCTCGTTAGAACTAATAATTCAGGTCAGCAAGAATTTCCTCCAGTCTCTGTTCGTGAGTCCCTCGGCATTATAAAAACACTGGGTTCTGGGTCGTTCTGTAGCAATAGCTGCTGGCTAACAGAGCTGCTGCTAAGCTCTTTCCAGATGCTCTGTTAACATCACTGCCCTTCTAGGCTGGTCTTCCCAACTAACCATGCAAAATCCACCTAATCCTCCAAGTTACCCTCCAAAATAAAAATGACTCAGGAACTTGAGAAAAAGGGAGAATGGCAGTGAGGTACTCAGACTTCATTTTATTTTTTCTTCCTCTTCTGCTGCTGATTTGCTAAGAAGAGACTAAGCTGGATATTCTAACGAGTTAATAAGGTAACATCTAACAATACACTTGTATAATGAAATCCAACTAAAACTGAATCTGGTGGAGCATCAAGCTTATTATAAAGATTATCACTTCAATTATCACTTTAATTCCTCTCTCTATTTTTCCCAAGGGCAGTCAAGGGTCAGTTATATGAACTGGTTGGTCAAATCCTAAATGCCCACAACAGGCAAGAAAACTGCTTAGTAGTCCACCATCAAGCTCTGATTTTATCTTCCGGACAGCTGGAATCGACAGTGACACCCTCCCCTGAAAACTGGAAAAACTCACTTGTGTCCAGAACCCGGATGCCGATGGGGGCCGACTCTTCCTCCGCCAGCCGGTACCATTCCTTCTGAGGGCTGGGCAGCCACTCCTCCACGCGGCAGGAGTAGTTGCCCGTGTCCCGAGGGCTTGCCTGCAGCACTGTGAGCCGGTAGAGTAGCGGGGAGAGCCTCTGGAAGCGAAGCCTGCCCTCCCAGGGGCTGCCCTCTGGGCCAAAGACAGCGTCTGGGCCCACGCTCAGCAGGGCTGTCCGCTCTGTGGGGTCCTCTTCCTCCTCTTCTTTCCCCTCCTCCCCTTCCTCCTCCCCATCTTCCAGGCCGGGGCTGCCCCTTTGCCCTCCAGCTTTAGTCCTCAGGGAGTACCAGGCCACAGCGAAGCGGGAGTCCTGGCTGGAGCGAGACACGATGCTACAGTCCAGCTGGAAAGCCGCCTTCTCGGACACCGTGGCATTGGGGACCACCGTGTCCACCTGCAGGGCGGCATCTGGGGGAGACAAGGCTGTTTTAATTTCTGTTCAAAACAACCTAAATGTCCACCCCTAAATATGTTCTAGTAATATACAAGAGGACTCTATGTATCCATTGAAAGGAACAAGGGGGCGTTGTGTGCAGAGAGGTGGAAGGAGATTCAAGAAAAATTGTTAGAGTACAGCACACTGTGTACTCTATGCATCATCGAGTGGAAGAAAAGAGAAAATAAGTTTTATCCTGACATAAGAATCTGTTTATATTTGCATGGAATATCTGTGGAAGAATGCACAAGGAGCTGGTAACATGGATGCTTACAGGAATCCAGGGAGGGAGGGACACTTATTTTCACTGTAACCCCTTGCAGTGGGGTTGAATAGTGTCCCCCCAAATTCATGTCCACCTGGACCCTCCGAATTTCCTTAACTGGAAATAGGGTCTTTGCAGATGTAATTAGTTAAGATGCACTCATACACTGATTTGGGGCAGGCCTGAATATAAGAAGAGGAGAGGACACAGAGAGAAGGACACGGGAAGGCAGAGACTGGACTGATGCAGCCACAAGCCAGGGAACACGGGGCCGTGAGAAGCTGGAAGAGGCGAGGAAGGACCCCTCCCTAGAACCTTCAGGGGAGCAGGGCCCTGATGACAGCTTGATTTCACACTTCTAGCCTCCAGAACTGAGAGAGAATAGATTTCTGTTGTTTGAAGCTACAATGCTTGCGCTAATTTGTTATGGCAGCCCTTGGAAATGAATTCACCCCATCAGCAGCTGTTGAATTTAAACCGGGTGCATGTAGATTATTGCCTACACCACAGGGAACCAACCCAAGCAGGTAAAACTTCTCCAAGGATTGAAGCTAAACAAAAGACCATAAACCTGAAAGGGCCCCTCACCCTGAGCATGGACCCCCAGGAGGATAACACAGACGGTGCCCTGACAGAGGTGGGAGATGCAGACTAGCCACGGAGAGACACCTGAGCAGGTAAATCACATCCCACAGACACCACCAGACAGCTGTATCTGTTTCTTTCTTTTGCGGGTTTTGGCTCACTGGGGTAGGTTCTAAACAAGTAATTCACTCCCTACCTCCTAAAAGGCCTCCCTTTGGCTCTGTTTATGAAATGCTCATGAAAGATGCCAATGTGGCATCAACAAAAGTAAAGAGACCAAATCGGATTCTACTTGGACGACAACCAAATAGGAGCATTTCCCAAGTACTGTCCTGGGCTTTCAATGAAGTGGCTGAATCGGCATGCCAGTGAACACAAAGCTGGTTACCACTGCTTCCGTGGGGCTCTGACAAGCCCCTCCCCACCCCCCTCAGCACATCTGGAACCTTGTGTGCACTGCTGGACAGAAAAGCTTAGGAGCCAGCTATAGGTGGCAGGCATGGTGCATCAGCCCAGCTATCACCGGGGCTGGGGAGAGATGCTGGAGGGTGGAAAGCGGCAGGACAGGAAATCAGTTTACAGGTGACTCAAACTCCCTCACTCATCGCCTTATCCCTCCAGGGAGCAAGGCGGACGTGCCAACAGAGAGAGATGCTGTGCAGTGAGGCAATGGACCTATCGTGGCAAGGTGGTCAGGGACTGTGGGACATTCAGTTCCCCAGAAGGGCCTCTTCCCATCTACTCTCTCTTTGCTGTCTTCTTGTCTAAAGCTCACAATTTTTCGGGGCCCCTTCAAGTGCCTTGTCTCTGTTAATGACTCAAGTTTTTGGTTTCCCGTGTCTGTCGCCTTCTAGAAGAGGCCAAAGTATCTCCCTGGTCAGCCTCTGACACTCTTTTCTTCCTTTTCCA